CACCGGTAATTTGTAAATCAAAGAGAGGATATTTAGAGAAATATTCGAAAAGAAAGATAGAAAAAAAAGAAAAAAAAAGAATAAAGAATGTTATTTTATCGGTTTCATTAGATATTTAAATAACAAAACTGGTAAAGTTACAAAAAAAGACGAAAAAAGTAAATAAAGAAAAAAAATAGCAAAAAACAATATTTAAAGAAAAAATTCTGAAAGAAAAAAAAATGTTCTATAAAATTAAAGAATCCGAAAAGAAGAAAATTTGAAAGATTAGATATTTAAAGAAATATTCGAAATCTCATTCAAAAAAAATAAAAGAAAACATCAAAAGAAAAATTTTAAGTATGTTATTTTATCGGTTTCAAAAAAATTTCCAAATATTCTGATTTTACTTTAGAATGTTCTTAAAACTCTTCAACAATTTTTATTGTTTTTGTTGATAAAAATTTTTTTTTTACATTTTTATTTTTTTCACTAATCCGGTAACAATATGTTTTAAGTATGTTATTTTATCGGTTTCATTAGATATTTAAATTCGCAAATTTATTTAGAATCTCATTCAAAAAGCAATGTTCTAAAAGATTACTAAACATTGAAAAAAGAATCCGAAACCAAATATGGTTGCTTGAAAATCGAAGACGATTTTTTTATAAAAAGGAATTAAAGAAGGAGAAACTAATAAATAATTATGGGAAAAAGAAAAACTTAAATCTGAAATCATCATACAATAAAAAGGATGAAGAATCACTAATCCGAAAATATGTTTTAAGAAGTTATTTTATCGGTTTCAAAAAAAAAAAAAAAAGCTGGAGAGAAAAAAAGATTCATAAAAGAATGTTCTAAAAAAAAGATTAAAGAAAGATCAAAGAAGTCCGGTTAAAAATATGTTTTAATTATGTTATTTTATCGGTTTCAGATATTTAAATTTTTTCATATTCTGGATTTTACATCTTATTCAAAAAAAAAGAAATGTTTATAAAAGATTACTAACATCACTTCCGGTAAAATATGTTTTAAGTATGTTATTTTATTTTCATTAGATATTTAAATTTCACAAAATTTTATTTTACATTGAAACATAAAAGCAAAATTCTATAAAAAGATTACTAACATCACTAAATTGGTAAAATATGTTTTGCTTTTTTTATCGGTTTCATTAGATATTTAAATAAAGAGAAGAAAGAAACTGCAAATATTTGGATTTTACATCTGATTCATAAAAAAAAGCAATGTTCTATAAAGATTACTAACATCACTAATCCGGTAACAATATGTTTTAAGTATGTTATTTTATCGGTTTCATTAGATATTTAAATTTCGCAAATATTCTGATTTTACATCTCATTCATAAAAAAGCAATGTTCTATAAAAGATTACCAACATCACTAATCCGGTAAATAATATGTTTTAAGTATGTTATTTTATCGGTTTCATTAGATATTTAAATTTCGCAAATATTCTGATTTTACATCTCATTCATAAAAGCAATGTTCTATAAAGATTACTAACATCACTAATCCGGTAACAATATGTTTTAAGTATGTTATTTTATCGGTTTCATTAGATATTTAAATTTCGCAAATATTCTGGATTTTACATCTCATTCATAAAAGCAATGTTCTATAAAGATTACTAACATCACTAATCCGGTAAATAATATGTTTTAAGTATGTTATTTTATCGGTTTCATTAGATATTTAAATTTCGCAAATATTCTGGATTTTACATCTCATTCATAAAAGCAATGTTCTATAAAGATTACTAACATCACTAATCCGGTAAATAAATGTTATTTTATCGTTTTATTTAAATTTCGCAAATATTCTGGATTTTTATTTTAAAAGCAATCTATTTAAAAGAACTAACATTAATCCGATATTTTTAAATTTATTTTATCGGTTTCAGAATATTTTGATTTTACATCTCATTCATAAAAAAGCAATGTTCTATAAAGATTACTAACATCACTAATCCGGTAACAATATGTTTTAAGTATGTTATTTTATCGGTTTCATTAGATATTTAAATTTCGCAAATATTCTGGATTTTACATCTCATTCATAAAAGCAATGTTCTATAAAGATTACTAACATCACTAATCCGGTAAATAATATGTTTTAAGTATGTTATTTTATCGGTTTCATTAGATATTTAAATTTCGCAAATATTTTGGATTTTACATCTCATTCATAAAAGCAAAAGAAAGAAAGAAAAGAAAAGATTACTAACATCACTAATCCGGTAACAATATGTTTTAAGTATGTTATTTTATCGGTTTCATTAGATATTTAAAAAAGAAAATATTCTGGATTTTACATCTCATTCATAAAAAAGCAATGTTCTATAAAGATTACTAACATCACTAATCCGGTAACAATATGTTTTAAGTATGTTATTTTATCGGTTTCATTAGATATTTAAATTTCGCAAATATTCTGGATTTTACATCTCATTCATAAAAAGCAATGTTCTATAAAGATTACTAACATCACTAATCCGGTAACAATATGTTTTAAGTATGTTATTTTATCGGTTTCATTAGATATTTAAATTTCGCAAATATTCTGGATTTTACATCTGATTCATAAAAAAAGCAATGTTCTATAAAGATTACTAACATCACTAATCCGGTAACAATATGTTTTAAGTATGTTATTTTATCGGTTTCATTAGATATTTAAATTTCGCAAATATTCTGGATTTTACATCTCATTCATAAAAGCAATGTTCTATAAAGATTACTAACATCACTAATCCGGTAACAATATGTTTTAAGTATGTTATTTTATCGGTTTCATTAGATATTTAAATTTCGCAAATATTCTGATTTTACATCTCATTCATAAAAAGCAATGTTCTATAAAGATTACTAACATCACTAATCCGGTAACAATATGTTTTAAGTATGTTATTTTATCGGTTTCATTAGATATTTAAATTTCGCAAATATTCTGATTTTACATCTCATTCATAAAAGCAATGTTCTATAAAGATTACTAACATCACTAATCCGGTAACAATATGTTTTAAGTATGTTATTTTATCGGTTTCATTAGATATTTAAATTTCGCAAATATTCTGATTTTACATCTCATTCATAAAAGCAATGTTCTATAAAGATTACTAACATCACTAATCCGGTAAATAATATGTTTTAAGTATGTTATTTTATCGGTTTCATTAGATATTTAAATTTCGCAAATATTCTGGATTTTACATCTCATTCATAAAAGCAATGTTCTATAAAGATTACTAACATCACTAATCCGGTAACAATATGTTTTAAGTATGTTATTTTATCGGTTTCATTAGATATTTAAAAGAAAGAAAGAAATTTAAATTTCGCAAAAAAAAGATTCTGATTTTAAAAAAGACGGTTTCATTAGATATTTAAATTTCTCATTCATAAAAGCAATGTTCTATAAAGATTACTAACATCACTAATCCGGTAACAATATGTTTTAAGTATGTTATTTTATCGGTTTCATTAGATATTTAAATTTCGCAAATATTCTGGATTTTACATCTCATTCATAAAAAGCAATGTTCTATAAAGATTACTAACATCACTAATCCGGTAACAATATGTTTTAAGTATGTTATTTTATCGGTTTCATTAGATATTTAAATTTCGCAAATATTCTGGATTTTACATCTCATTCATAAAAAAAGCAATGTTCTATAAAGATTACTAACATCACTAATCCGGTAAAAGTAATATGTTTTAAGTATGTTATTTTATCGGTTTCATTAGATATTTAAATTTCGCAAATATTCTGGATTTTACATCTCATTCATAAAAGCAATGTTCTATAAAGATTACTAACATCACTAATACGGTAAAAGAATATTAGATTTTAAATTTCGTATTTTGATTTTATCTCATTCATTAAAGAATGTTCTATTTAAACATCACTTCCGGTAAAATATTTTTAATTTTTTTACATCTCATTTCGCAAAAATTTTGGAAATCTCATTCAAAAAGCAATGTTCTATAAAGATTACTAACATCACTAATCCGGTAACAATATGTTTTAAGTATGTTATTTTATCGGTTTCATTAGATATTTAAATTTCGCAAATATTCTGGATTTTACATCTCATTCATAAAAAAGAAAAGAAAGAACTGGAGGTAAAAAAAAAAGACGGTTTCAAAGAAAGAAAAAAAGAAAGCAATGTTCTATAAAGATTACTAACATCACTAATCCGGTAACAATATGTTTTAAGTATGTTATTTTATCGGTTTCATTAGATATTTAAATTTCGCAAATATTCTGATTTTACATCTCATTCATAAAAGCAATGTTCTATAAAGATTACTAACATCACTAATCCGGTAACAATATGTTTTAAGTATGTTATTTTATCGGTTTCATTAGATATTTAAATTTCGCAAATATTCTGGATTTTATCTTATTCATAAAAGCAATGTTCTATAAAGATTACTAACATCACTAATCCGGTAACAATATGTTTTAAGTATGTTATTTTATCGGTTTCATTAGATATTTAAATTTCGCAAATATTCTGGATTTTACATCTCATTCATAAAAAGCAATGTTCTATAAAGATTACTAACATCACTAATCCGGTAACAATATGTTTTAAAGATGTTATTTTATCGGTTTCATTAGATATTTAAATTTCGCAAATATTCTGGATTTTACATCTCATTCATAAAAGCAATGTTCTATAAAGATTACTAACATCACTAATCCGGTAAAGTAATATGTTTTAAGTATGTTATTTTATCGGTTTCATTAGATATTTAAATTTCGCAAATATTCTGATTTTACATCTTATTCATAAAAGCAATGTTCTATAAAGATTACTAACATCACTAATCCGGTAACAATATGTTTTAAGTATGTTATTTTATCGGTTTCATTAGATATTTAAATTTCGCAAATATTCTGATTTTACATCTTATTCATAAAAGCAATGTTCTATAAAGATTACTAACATCACTAATCCGGTAACAATATGTTTTAAGTATGTTATTT